GATAGCAAGTTAGATAATACCACCATGATAATTAGGGCTAATAATAAATATTATCAACATGTACTTGTAAAATTACCACAACATATTGGCAAACAAACGTGAGACATGAATCTAAGTTTACAGCCTGAAAAGTTCTGGGTGAAAGGCTATTTCTTATTCAAAAAGTGGGGAACTGAAGCCAACTGGATTTCAAAGCTGTGGATTTTTTTTAATTTAATTTAATTTTATTAATTACACTTTATTTACTTTGTATCCCCCCATAAGCCCTTCCCTCCTTCCCTTCTAGTCCCATCCTCCCTCCCCCTTCTTCACGCATGCCCCTCCCCAAGTCCACTGATAGGGGAAGTCCTCCTCTCCTTCCTTCTGATCTTAGTCTATCAAATCACATCAGGAGTGGTTATATTGTCATCTTCTGTGGCCTGGTAAGGCTGCTCCCCCCTTATGGGGAGGTGATCAAAGAGCAGGTCAATTGGATTATGTCAGAGGCAGTCCCTCTTCCCATTACTATGTAACTCACTTGGACACTAAACTGCCATGGGGTACATCTGTGCAGGGGTTCTAGGTTATCTCCATGCCTGGTACTTGGCTGGAGTATGAGTCTCTGGGAAGTTCCCTGTGTTCAAATTTTTGTGGTTCTGTTGCTCTCCTTGTGGGGTTCCTATCCTCTCCACATATTACTATTTCCCACTTCTTACATAAGATTCCATGCACTCTGCCCAACAGTTGGCCATATGTCTCAGTGTCTGCTTTGATAGTCTGCAGTGTAGAGCCTTTCAGAGGCCCTTTGTGGCAGGTTTCTAGATTGTTTCCTGTTTTCTCCTCCTTCTGATGTCCATCCTCTTTGCCTTTCGGGATGGGGATTGAGCATTTTAGTCAGGGTCCTCTCTCTTAATTAGTTTCTTTAGATGTACAGATTTTAGTAAAAGCCAGGGATCTTTTAAGAGGGTACACTTCCTTCCACAGAGCTGGCAGAGGGCAGCAAGTGGAGGCTGCTATGGTCTCTCTTGAACCAGAGTCTAAAGGTACAGCTACAGGGTTAAAATTATGCTAGAGAGAGCCAGGCCTGGAGCTGAACCTAAAATAGAAAATGCCATGGCAGAGGGTGCTTGAATCTTTTGTGGCTGCATTTTGGTTGTTGCCATGAACCTGGTCACTGTAGGTTCAATGGTGATCACAGTTTTATGTGCCCTTTCCAGGACAGTTCAAGAAGAAAATGGAGAGAAATCAGAGAGATGGAACGATAAACTATGGGTAACTGAAAAGAAAAAAAAGAAAGGGGGCTCTTCCAGTAGAAAATACATTGATAGATGTTTGTCAGCTATTTCTATAAAGGGTCTGCCGATACATTTGTGCAACAACTAAATTCCAAGGAATGATGAGCAGGGCTTCCTGCTGCAACATGAGATGGCCCAACTAACCCCAAAACTTAAAATTTTCTTGTTTCTTTGCTTGATTTTTGCTTGAAAGTTTTTGGTATTGCTTATAGTGGGAAATACAGATGATATTTTTCTTGTTTGACATTGCTAAAAACATGAGATTTTTGAAGATTTTGACTGTATCTGAGATGAAATATTCGAACAAGACAATGTTAGCACATGCATTTAATCCCAGCACAAAGAGGCAGACACAGGCAGATCTCTGATTTCTTGCTCAGCCTGGTTTATACAATGAAGTCAGGGCGGGTTGCCCTGCTGATAAGATAAGCAGCTCTTTCAAGGCCTCCACTGCAGAAAGAGAAAAAAACTAAGTTTTCCTGGGTGGGAACCCGTTGCTGATAAGATTAAGTGGAAACAGCCTAAAAATTCATTGACTAATTAAGACAACTAAAATAAAACACCTTTCACCAACAAAACAAAGCACTTACATGTGCCACAACACAGATGACCTAAAAAGCATGATGCTGAGTAAAAGATGTCAGTCACAGACGATCATAGAGTATATTAGTCTATGTAACATATGTAACATATCCAGAATTGGAAAATCCACAAAGACAGAAAGCAGATTAGTGGCTTCCGGAGGAGTGGAACTAGAGTAAATGCAGCTGTTACTAGTTATGCAGGCTTGTGGAGGAAATGAGGAAATATTCAACAATCAGATTGTGTTCTACAATCTAAATGATCTAGAATTAGACTGAACAATCCTGTGAATATACTAAAAATTATTGCACTGTATGTTTCTAATGGGTAGATATTAGAATACATGATTTTTTTTAATGTTCTTTAAATAAACTATGTTTCTGCTGTCCTGGTATAAGAGAAAGTCAAAAGAATATAAAATACTCTCTCTTACTTCCTGAACTGTTGGTGTTATGTTCAAGAAGTTGTCTTCTATGTCAATGAGTTCAAGGCTGTTCTCCACTTTCTCTTCTAAATGATTAGGTGTATCTGGTTTTATGTTGAGGCCTTTGATCCACTTGGACTTTAGTTTTGTGCAGGGTGACAAATATGGATCTACTTGCATTTTTCCACATGCAGACATCCAGTTAGACCAGCACCATGTGTTGAAGGTGTTTTCTTTTTCCCATTGTAATGTTTTGGTTTCTTTGTCAAAAATCAAATGTCCATAGGTGTTTGGATTTATTTCTGTGTCTTCAGTTCTATTCCATTGATCAATCAGTCTGTTTCTGTGCCAATACCAGGCAGTTTTTATTAGTATTAGCATTGGATTTGAAATCAGAGATGGTGATACCTCCAGAAGTTCTTTTATTGTACAGGATTGTTTTAGACATTCTGGGGTTTTTCTTTGGAGAAACCCAGCGTGCAGGGCATCTCTGAGAAAAGCTTGAGACCTTCAACAGAGTGGGCTCTTGGGAGGATATGTGGGTGATTCTAGCTGAGACCCCAAGCAGTGGAGGACATGAAAACTGAAGTGACCACTTTCTTTCCAGGCAGGACTTCTCTAGTGAAGAGAGGGTAACACCATCCCACCCACAAAACCTTCAACCCCAAATTTACCCTGCCTGCAAGAAGTACAGGAATAAAGATGGAAGAGAGATTGAGGTAATGGCTAATCAATGACTGGCTCAACCTAAAACCTACCCCAAGGGAGAAAGCCAACCTCTGACACTATTAATGACACTCTGCTCTGCTTGCAGACAGAAGACTAGCATTACTGACTTCTGAGAGACTCTGCCCAGCAGCAGATTAAAACAAAGGCTGAGACCCATATATTAGGTGAACTAACAGAGTGAACTAACCTAGGCACCTAGGGGCTTACAGAGACTGAAGCACCAACCGAATAGCATGCATGGTCTGAACCTAGGGCCCCAATGAGAGGACTGGACTAACTCCATTTTGAGTTAGTCCATTTGACTGGGTGCAAAGCTGGGCCAAAATTCTTGCAACCCTTCCCCCTTTCCTGCTTGAGGAGTTTAAAAAACAACAGCAACAGCAACAAAACACAGCCCAGACATCTGCCTTGGGGCTTTATGAAGTGAGGTGACCATTCCTAATATACAAGTATCCCTTACCATGAACCCATCCAATCCTGGTAAGTATTACCTAACCCAGACTGGAAATCTCCTACCTGGTTTTAAAAGGAGCCTTCGGACTCCTGTCATAGTTGCCATTTTGTATAGTGGATGACCCCTGGCATGCAGGATTCTTGCTTCCTCTAAATAAAAACACTCTTGCTGATTGAATATGTGAGTGCTGGTCTCTGTGTGGCGATTTTGGCCTTAACACCTACACATATGTAAACCACAGGCAGCTTGGTTTTCATGTGGGTGTCCTAGCAAGTGGAACAGGAATTGTGTCTGACATGGACTTTGTTTGCTGCTTTTAGATCACTTGATCACTCTTCCCTGCCTTGCTTGGCCTCAGTAGAAGAGGATTTACTCAGTCCTGATTGGATTTGATGTGCTGGGGTGAATTGATGGGGGGGACTCCCCTTTTCCAAGACAGGGAGGGGGACAAGGAGGAAGTTATATAGCTTTCTCTGCCACAGGAAGTTCATCCATGAATACATTCACCTTTTACTGGTATGGAGTCCTAACTGGCTATATATTCCATATCCAGGCATTATGTTGCTGGGTAATTCTGAAGCCAGGGTGCTGATGAAACCTCACTTTCTGATTGGCTGCTTATTGATCACCTCCCCCTGAGGGGGGAGCAGCCTTACCAGGCCACAGAAGATGACAAAGCAGCCACTCCTGATGTGATCTGATAGAAGGAAGGAGAGGAGGACCTCCCCTATCAGTGGACTTGGGGAGGGGCATGTGTGAAGAAGGGGGAGGGAGGGTGGAACCTGGAGGAGAGGAGAGAGGGGCTTATGGGGAGATACAAAGTGAATAAAGTGTAATTAATAAAATTAAATTAAATTTAAAAAAGTCACCCAGTTTCTTTCTGAAGAGAAGTGGAAGAGATAACAAAAAGGAAGAAGGAAAATAGAAGAAAAACAATATGAGCTGAGTACTCACTAAGAAAATCGAATGAGAAATTACTTTTTCACAGTATAAATCATGCATAGAGTAATCAGTCATGCCAACAGACACCAGTGTATAAAGATTACAGGATGGCTGGAGTGCAGGTGTAGAGCAATCGGAAGAGTGAAGCAAGCGTGAAAGCCGAGTGTCATAGAAATCAGGTGTGTGGGGGGACACATACCTATAACCCCAGCACTCAGGAAGTAGAACAAGAGGATCACAAGTTCAAAGTCACCCTTGAATACATAATGAATTTAAGACTAGTCTAGGTTACTTAAAATCAATGTGTGAAAAACAAGGTAAGGAGTGGAAAGGTGGGAGAGTAAGAAGTAAGAAGGATGGATTAAAGTAAAGAGTGTGGCCAACTGAAAAACAAACAAACAAGGCTGAGCATAGTATTCCATGTATATAATCCCAGCACTCAGGGAATCAGAGGCAGGTGGATCTCTGTGAGTTGGAGGGCAGCCTGGTGTGCCCTCTGTGGGTCCAGGACAACCAAGGCTACATTGGTAAACCCTGTCTCAAAAAAAAAAAAAAAAAAAAAAGAAAAAGAAAAAAAATACCAAAAAGACAGTACCTCCTGGGGGAGTTCCAACGCTACTGCCAAGACCCAAAATAGCCATCTTGTGAATTCTAGGCAGCAGCATCACTGCAGATTCTTCTCCCCTCTCCCAGTGGGGTACTCTGACCGGCTCCAGGTGGACATCTTCCAGCCCATCTTGCTGCAGGTTTTGGTACATGATTTGAATAGCTTTCTCTAGGTTCTTAGAGCCACTCAGTCTGGGTCCAACAGCATCAACTAGAAGTCCCAAACGTTCATAGGAACGGTTCTGGTATTTACCATAAACAGCAAGGTTGATAATTGCTTCAGCAACATCTTTATAACTGTCTACTTCCTCCTTTATTTCTTGAAATGTTCGCTGAGGGTTGCCATTCTTATATATGGCTTTTCCAGAGCTCAGGGATAAAAGGTGAACACCACCAACAAACAGGAAGAAAATGAACTTCATTGTTCCAGGCTGTTTTTCTTCCTGAGAGAAATAAATAAGAAACATGTTTTAGGGGAAAAAAAAATCTCACAGGCATCTGCCTATAACTTACGGTCTGCTTTTTAAGCAGCATTCCTCTTTCTTTTCCAACTGTCAACCAACTCCCTCATATTCAAGCAATAAAGTTCTTAAGAATAGGCAAGCCAAAGAATGGTAATCTTATTAACAGGGTGGTGTGCACCAAACCTATAAAATCACTTGTTACAGTGGATTCCCTTGTAAGGGAACAGGGACTGTCTCTGACATGAACTCAGTGGCTGGCTCTTTGATCACCTCTCACTGAGGGAGAAGCAGCCTTGCCAAACCACAGAGGAGGACAATGCCACCAGTCTTGATTAGACCTGATAAGCTAGAGTCGGATGGGGAGGAGGACCTCCCCTATCAGTGGACTTGGAGAGGGGCATGGGAGGAGATGAGGGAGAGAGGATGGAATAGGGAGGAATAAGAAAGGGTGCTACAGCTGGTATACAAAATGAATAAATGGTAATTAATATATAAAAAATAATAAAGTAATCAAAGTATTTAAAAAAAATAAAAAAGATTGCCAAGCACAATATAAGGAAATAACAATTGATCTAACTTGCCAAGCCCCAAGTCCCCAAGCTGCCCAGAAAGCCAGAGCCTTGTGCAAGCCCAGGAGCACTCTGTCTCTGAGTTTCAGCCCTACGAGTTTGTGCCATATTTTAAATTTTGTTTATTACATTGAAAAATAAAATCACTTTGTACCCAGGGATTTACATCTTGTTTGTTTGTTTGTTTGTTTGTGTAGCCCTGGATCTCCTGGACTCACTTTGTAGACCAGGCTGGCTTCAAACTCATAGAAATCCACCTGCCTCTTCCTCCCTAATGGCTGGGATTACAGGCATGTGCCACCACACCTGGCTAGGGATTTTGTTTTAAAAAGACAGGGAGAGAGAGACAGAGACAGTGAGACACACACAGCAAGGATGAAACAGAGACAGAGAAAGACAGAGAGATACAGAGAAAGGAGGCAGAAGAAAGTTAGAAACAGTGGTGAAAGTGAAGCTTCATACACATCCCTCTCAGTGGAACTCTAGTCAATTTGTTGTCCATCTTCCTCTGTCCAAATTGGCTTTCTCTTCTTTGCCTGCACATCATGACCCTTGAGGCCCACCTAGATATCTTTTTTTCCCTTAGAACTTTCCCTAATCCCATTTCCATTAAAGAGACCTGATTCTTTTCAACGATATTTATTGAATAGCAAGTCTATTCCAGGAACTCTGATATACTTTTAGAAGCAGAGAAGTAAAACAAATGCAGAAACAAAAACTAGGATATGTTATTCTTTAACTCTGTGATATACATCACCTACAGGTTAATAGTAAAAAGAACATAATGCATGTATGTCTTCACTATTATGTATCAGACACTGCCCTAAGAACATTGTTCTGTTATCACATTTAATCCTCATAATGGCCCACTTCAGGAGACAGACTCTCATGACATTTTTTTTAAGATTTATTTGTTTATTATGTATACAATGTTCTGTCTGCTTGTAAACCTGTACTCCAGAAGAGGGCATCCAATCTCATTATAGATGCTTGTGAGCCACCATGTGGTTGCTGGGAATTGAACTCAGGACCTCTGGAAGAGCAGCCAGTGCTCTTAACCTCTGGGTCAACTCTCCAGGCCCCATGACTTTTATTTTTATAAACAGGGACTGGAGCACTGGCACCAAGAGATTTAAAAAACTCGAAATACATAAAGATTTTCTCATCCTAATATCTACACTAAATAGTGCTACTCACTTAGCCTTGCAGAGCTTAGGTCTAAAGTAGGTCATATGGAGCCCGAGGATAAGTGGTTGTAGTGCTGCTCAGTTTAGGACCCAATACTCCCATGGGTTCATTTTAACTTAATTAACATTAAATCAAATTTAAAATTCAATTCCTTAGTCATTTCAGGAATGTTTCAAGTACTCAGTAGGCACATGTAACTAGTGGCTGCTCCCCCACACAGCTCAAACAAAATTACTTCGTGGCAGAATGCTTGGATGACATCAAGCAAGATGCTTTTTAAATTGTGTATATATTCTGGTTCTATTGCCCCTTCCAAAAGACATATCAACATTTAATTTCCATCATAAGCGTAATTGGGAAATAATACCTTTATATTTAGGTCTTGAAGGTTCCACCGTCCTTAATGACTGATGTCATCACAAGGGTAGGCTCATTGTAACCTTCTCTTTTAGTCTCTCTTTCACAACCTGTCCTGCCCTTCTGCCATGTGTCCTTCAATCATGTTGTGACAGAATAAGAAAAACTCTCTATTTGGTTTTGCAGGATTTTTAAAATCTAACAAAAAGTGGTTTTTATTTCTTTTCATTTATCTAATTCATCGTTACCTTATTTTACAAAGATATCAGTCTGCAAATCATTCCAAAATTATTCCATACCACAGGTTTCAGAAACACAAACTGTTACACAGATACATTTCAAATTCAACTGACAATGTCATTTTAAAATGGCACCAGCAACTTCTTTAAACTTGTCTTTCTTTACCCCCTTCATCTTTCTCTCTGTGTCTTGTTCTCCCTACTTCCCTCTTTCTACCTCTCCTTTTCCTATATATGTATATTTCTAATCTTGTGGACATATAGTATTTAAAATGTAGCTAGTCCAAGCTGAGATACTTTTTTATTTTGTAGGTGCAAAATATACTACTACTTTAATTTTAAAGATGTAAATGTGAAAACAAAAGTATTCTAACTTCACCAATGTGTCTCTACTCCATAAAGTGGCATTTAGGAAAGTTAAATGTCATACCAAGCCTTATGTGAGTCAACAGTGCTATACCTACATTCAGTTTTATAGTCTTGTTGACTATTGTATAGTATAGTCCCAGTGCTTTTATAACTTAGGGTCAGTACTTACACTCATTCTCTTATATTGCAAGCTTCTTCTCTCCAACCTATTCCCATTCTTCTGCAAAATTCCTACACTCACTTTTCAATCAGAATGTTTTTAAAATAACCTCCTATGAAGCCTTACCCAACCAAACCCATCCAGCTGAGCTGTTTACATCATCTGTGTTTCCACTGTAACTAGTAAAGTTAACTATATAAATTTGCATATAAATCTGTCTCCTCACCCTCAAAATACAGTAGAATAAATGATCCAGCACTGTACTTTCAATTGTGAAATCTAATGTAGTCACTCAGTACCTTTTCATTTAAGGAATAAATAAGCCTTTAATATCTCTAGGTCATAGCTTCCTTAGGGTATGAGAGTGGCTTCCCTCTTCACAAACAAGCTGAAGAAATAAAAAGTTGCTATGATATTTAAACATTGTGAAAATTAAGACAATTCTGCATTGTGGCTACTTTTCTTTCTTACAATTCTTTCTTACAGTTGTTTATATACTATGGTTCTTTGTTTCTATAATCACAATACTCATGCACAGCTTCAAAGGTTAATTTTGTTAAACCATCAAAATAATAAAAATATTTCACTAGACTATATTTTTTAGACAGGGCTCATTAATTCCCTGATTTTGTTTCTGGACTATAAATGAGAAGAAGGCTGAGCAGCAGCATGAACTTATCACTTTCTATTACTGATTATGACTGTGACATGGTCACTGGCTTCAAGCTTCTGACACTAACTTTTCCACATGATGGAACTTACCCTCAAATGATCACAATAAACTCTTCTTTGGCAGAGGTTTCTCATGGAAACAGAAGAGAAACTAATATACTTACCAGGTATGTTTGTTTGTTTGACTTAGGTCCCATTGAGCCCCTTGCTAATTTTTTTACAATTAGTGCTGTTCCAGAGAGCAATCCTATATCAGGGCTAATTTTAGAAAAATAAAAATGTACAACTTAATTCTGTGAATGCTAAATATATGTTACTTGGGTGCCAACAAAAAAGGAGGTTTAGATCAAGCCATGGGTGACACATTATTGAAGCCAGTTCTTCCAATAACCCACAAAGCACTGGTTCTCAAGTTTTATTAGTCTTCCTCCTAGTGGGCTCTGCAGATTTGAAGGATTGCACATCCAACTCACCTCAGAAATACAGTGGCCCTATGCAAGGGCAGAAGTGTCAATGAAATTTAGCAAGCTGCAAATTTTCTTTTGAGTCCACAAAGGGAAAAAACATTCTATGTTAACAACACAGATAAATACTATTTCTTGACTGAAACGTTTTCTCTTTATTCAATTGGAAAAGGACTTTTCTTTTTTAGGTCCTACTTCTTCTGTCAATTCATTTGACAAACGTTTGCTGAGCCACTATAAACTGATATATATTAAACTGATATAAACTAAGTATATGAGATAGTACCAAAGAACTGGCAAGCATAAGAAGAGACAGAAAGAAAAGGCCCCATAACTGAAGTAGTTACAAGGTCCTGGAAAACAGGAGAAGCTGAAGTATTGGGTTTAGTGTTTAAACTAGGATGCAAAAATAAGCAGGATTTTCCTGGTGGCACATGGAGAAGGTGGAACTGGCACAATAGGAAACAAACAATTAGAGGGAGAGAAGCTTTACAAAATGTAGCCAGACACAACAAAGAAAATGACAAACAAATGGAAGATACAGCAACAGGAAAGAAGTATACCTCAGGAAAGCATGGAAGACACAGCAACAACAAGGCTGGATTGTCTCCCAAGAAAACATACACTGTGAAGTTCCAGGCAAATAGAGCCAAGTGCCCTGGAAGGCCATGACAGTGGAGGCAATGAATCCTCACCCTTCATCTACCACCACCAGGTCAGGAAAAGATCTCTTCTGATCTCCAGGACTCTTGTCCCCTGAACACAGAGATTCCACCCAGAACCATGTTGGGATAGGGGCAGCATGTAAAATACCTCAAAATCTCAAAAGAGACATTACTTATTACCTATAGGTTACTCTGTAAATTTCTCAGAGGGATGAAATAAAAATGCTGTGCAAGTAGACAGTGTGTTAGTCCAGAATTCACTAACAAAGACACTCAACATTTTTTCCATTTAAAAATCCCCCAATTCTAATAACCTAACAAAGAAAAATTGATCGAGCATTCTTTCATGCAATTTTAAAATACTTAAAATGTTTTAGCTTAAGCTTCACAACATTTTTAAATGTTCTTTATTTTTTACAAAAAGAATTGAAGTTATTGTTCCTTTCCTTGAACTTAAACTATATAAATAGTACATGGCATATCCTTCAAGTGTTAAACAACTATTTTTAAAACTCATTTTGTATCATGTCTTTGAATTCAGAGAGTTTAAACAGACACATACACTCATATATATGTATATAAACATATATGTGTATGTACATATACATAGAAAGATTTGTTTTACATTTTGCATATATTGCCTACATAAGCTATAGTTACAGCCTCTTTCACAAAAACAGAAAAAAAAATCTTTTGAATGTCATTTTCTCTCTTTTCTACTTAAATCTGAAGGCAAAAGCAACATTTCTCATACAATGAATTATACCATAATAATAGATTTATAGTTTAGAAACAAAGTGCAGTCCTTTGCTTCCACTTCTTAATAGTTTTTCCTGAAAATTCATTATTTTTAAATGTCCCAGGCTCTGTTAAAAATTCCAAAATGACTATATGAACAAAGTGGAAAATAGAGTGGGCTGAAAGAAGGGAGCGAGATTTAGGGCCTCTGTTTTCATTTTCCTTGTATCAGTTACCTTGTCTTCTAAAACTGCATATACAATAGTTAGGTGAAAATTTAAATATTTCCCCTAAATCTTGATTAATGCACAGAATTCATTGTTATAAACATAACACTAAGTCTTTAATCAAGACCATGGGTCATTTTAAAAAAAACAGGAAGGTTATATACTAGCACTGATACCAGGAAGGTTCATTTCACAGCTCCTGTGAGCCTACCTGGATTTAGGTTGTTTTTACCCATCTTAAGAAAGAAGTTTGACTGCCTTCCAATTCCTACAGCTTGAACTCCAGTTACGTATTTATTCAAATTAAGACCTTACTCTTAATATTCAAATTAAGACCTTACAGTTTAGGGAAAGATCAAAAAGCAAGAATGACCCCAGATCCTACTACTACTAATGAACACTGAATTACTTATTCAGTGTTCTGTCTTTACTAGCTAAACCTTAGAGATTTCTAAGTAAGTTAAACATCACGGGTTCTCTTGGACTTGTTCCTACGGTTATAAAATTAAAGAGAGTACCAAATGTGTAGCTCAATCATTTAAGCTAGTTGGTCTCTGTAAGGATGACAACTCTACCAAGAAGCATTTTGAGTATCATTGTGGATGGCAGACATTTTGCATGGAGAGAAATCTTACTAGGAGCTACACATAATGGCAATCTGTGTAGTAAAGACTCTCGTATACTTACATAGTTCTTTTGGTGGCTTTGTCATTGTTTATGTTTGTTTTTTAAAGAGTTGTTGTGTCTCATGAGGTGGCGAACTAATTATTTAACTAAATTGAATTAAACAGTTCTCTTCCTCCTCCTTCCATCTCATCTTCTAGCCAAGAGGAAGTCTTATGCTATAGTCCTGCAGAGACGTAAACAGAAGTACCTGAACAGGAAAAGCTCAAAGATGTTATATGTCATTATTTTTATAATCACAGAAACAAGTCCAAGATAATTTGCCCTCTATTACTTAACAGCAAAACCACCACTATTCCTGTTACTTGAGAAAAGACGTTCTATTTCAGTCACTGTCACTTTAGTTTGATCCTCTTCTGGTCTGTGAACACAGCTTCACAGGCCAGTTTCTCACACATACTCAGAAGTGTTTCTCTGGTGCTCCTGAAAGTCTAAACATCCAGCACTAAACTCTAAACCTTCTCATCCATTCCCAACCCTAGTCTAGTCCCAGTGCTAGTCGTTAGTTAGGAACAACTCCTCTCTCCCTCAGGGTGAAGATGTGAATAATTGGTACAACTCAATCTTGTTTTCTTCCTAACTAACCCCCTCTTTCCACCTTCACCCTCACTTCACCACCTCAGAAATTCATTATCTTATATTGGAACCATGTCCCACCCCATGTTTCCATCTTACATCTAGTATCTTTTCCACTTGGACTGCTGTTTGGCCACAAGATTTACATTAAATATAATCAAATCACTTGTATGCTCTAAAAGATGTTTTGTACTATTTGTTACTAAGCATCACAGTTATGTTTTCTGCTATGATTTAAATAGTGGCGTCCTCTCCAAAATTCATATTGAAATTCCAGCCTCAATGCACCATTATTAAGAGGCGTTGCTTTGGGAAAGTGATGAAGACACAAGGGTTCTGCTATCTCAAATGGTATTTAGTACATTTACTAAATGCTCTCTTGTTCTTTTATCTATTCCATGATTTGAAGATACCTTACTCATCTCTTCTGGAAGGTATGGCAACTAATTGCAGTCTTGAAAGCAGAAGCCCAAACCAGATATTCCGTATCAAAATTGAGATCTTGGACTTCTGGACCCCAGAACTGTGAAAACCATTATCTTTTTAAAAGCAACGCAGCCAGAAGTATTTTGCAAAAGCAACACACATCTGTGATACACCTTGCTGGTCTTCATAAGTCCTTATGTTGCAGTCCTAGCAGGCTTCTGCCACTGCTTGAGTTTTATGAACAATCTTTATGCAACTCTGATTTTTCTTATGTCATTCCCTCTGACCACAGTGACATTTTGTCATTTCTCACTGATGAAACTGGTATGAGGCAAGGAGCAACTTATCAGTCTCTAAGTCCTAGGTATAGCTGGTTGCTGCACACCCCATGCTCCTGTTTCATGTCTTTTATCATGCTAGATTATAAAATATATAACAATGATATTATTTTACTTCTATAAAAATTCATTGAAATGTTTTCCTCACGGGATGTGTTTTTTCTTTACACACAACCCAAAACACAGTATCTGTAAATATTTATAGAATAACGAACACACTCACCAAACAAGTAGTCTTATTTAATAACAGAAGGATATAGCTCCAATTCATCATTTACAATTACTTTTTTCAAATGAGACATAGGTTTGCTTGAGCATGAGTACATTCATAAGTTTCTCCTACCGCAGGAAACTTGAGACTTGGTCCTGGATGTCTGCCTAAATTCACGACCTTGAACAATTTATTTGAAGTATCTCTTTATATGTTACATGTAAAATAAGGCTTACATTTTAGCTGTGATACTTTATTATGGTTTTCCTTAAATATTTAATTCCAATCACACTTTTCTTTACATTTCTCGCTACCACTTAACTAAATTATAGATCAAACTCTTAACTGGTTCATTTTTTAAGGTCGTTACCCAACCTACTGATTTAGTGTCTTTTCCCACAAACCAACTGAAATTGAACTTATTAAGGTATTAAGAATGTCCTTGCTCTCTTTGACCATCTCCCCCTGAGGGGGGAACAGCCTTGCCAGGCCACAGAGGAGGACAATGCAGCAAAGTCCTGGTGAGATCTAATAAGCTAGGGTCAGATGGAAGGAAAGGAGGACCTCCCCTATCAGTGGACTTGGAGAGGGACTTGAGAGAGAAAAAGAAATGAGGGTAGGATTGGGAGGGAATGAAGGAGGTAGCTACAGCTGGGATACAAAGCAAATAAACTGTAATTAATATAAAAATAAATAAATAAAAAGAAAGATTCAAATACCTATTAGCACAAGAAGCTTGGAAGACTGGGACAATGAGCACTAGAAGAAGGAGACTGGTACCTTCACAACCTAATTGGAGCCCCTAGGAATGAGTATTCACAGTAAATGCTACGGATTATGATGGATGGCTATTAGGAGTGGTTTTCTATTCCTTATGATATAGGAAAACTCAAAAGAGATTTTCTGGCTGTGGAGATGACTCGATTGCTGAAGTGTTTGCCACACAAGCATGAGGATATGAGTTCAGATCCCCACCACTCATGGAGAAACTGGGCATGGAGGCACACATCTGCAGGCCCAAAGCTAGAGAAGTGGTAACAAAGCAATTTCTAGGTCCCTGAATCTTCCTAGCCAGCCCATCTGAATCATCTGACACTTGAATCATCAAGTGTCAGGTTCAGTGAGAAACCCTGTCTCAAAAATAAGACAAGGAGCAATCAAGGAAGATGATGTTGAAATATGGCCTCCAGAGGCATATATAAAAATGTGCATGAGCTTCTACAAACACAAAAACACACAAATGAACACATATACAAACACATACACACACATGATGGGGTTGATTTTTTTACACCTACAAAGGAATGTTTCAGTTCTGTAGGATACAGAAAGACAAATGAGATGTGCATTGGATGTATGACAGGAGTCTACTGCAGAAGGCATCTGAAAGACTCTACCTAACAGTGTTTCAAAACAGATACTAAGATTCATAACCAAACCTTCGGCAGAAGGGGAGTTAGTATGACGTGGAAAGGACAGGAGCTCCACAAGGACCAAATATATCTGGGCACAGGAGTTTTTTCTGAGACTGACACTCCACCAAGGACCATGTACGGATATAACCTAGAACCTTTGCTCGGATGAAGCCAATGGTAGCTCAGTAAGCAATTGGTTTCCCATAGTAAGGGGAACAGGGACTATTTCTGACAGGAACTCAATGGCAGGCTCTTTGACCTCCCCACTCCCCAAGGGAGGAGCAGTCCTGCTAGGCCACAGAGGAGGACTCTGAAGATACCTGATAAAACAGAGTCAGATGAAATGGGAGGAGGCCCTCCTCAATCAGTGGACTTGGAAAGGGGCAGGGAGGAGATGAGGGAGGGAGGGTGGGATTGGGAGGAAATAAGGGAGCAGGATTCAGCTGGGATATAGAGTTAATAAAATATAAATAATAATAAAAAATTAAATTAAATTTAAAAAAAAGAATCAGCAAAGATAACACTTAAAATTTCCTCAAAGGGACCATTATTTTTATGCCTCAAAGACTTAGCATAATCTTATCCCATTGCCTGGACACTTTTCCTTTGCTAATCATCTGTCCTAGAACCCCTATCCATCCTGATAAACTTTAGAGACACTCACTTGAGCTTGTGTACTCCAGGGAAATCTCTCCTCGACTTCTGAAATATGAACTAGCTGTGCTTCCCATATACTCCCATGTGCCCTACTCAGACCTCTGCATATACCATTATTATGACTGAACATATTCTAGTTGGGGTTTCTATTGCTGTGATGAAATGCCATGACCAAAAGATAGTTGGAGAGGAAAGGGTTTACTTGGCTTATACATCCATATCATGATTCATCATCAAAGGAAGTCAGAACAAGAATTCAAACAAGGCAGGAACCTGTAGGCAACAGCTGATAGAGAGAACATGGATTGATGCTGTTTCTGGGCTTACTCACCATGGTTTTCTCAACCTGTTTTCCTAAGGAACCCAGGATCAGAAGCCTATGGAAGAAGTGGCCCCATCCACAATGGCCTAGGCCCTCCCCATCAATCACTAACTAAGAAAATTCCCCTAAAGCTAGATCTTATGGAGGCATTTTCTCAATTATGTTTCCCTCTTTTCAGAAAAAAAATTATCTAGTTTGTGTCAAGTTGACATAAAACTAGCCTGCACACTTCCCTAAATGTCCATCTCTTCTACTAAAGCATGTACTCAATATGGGAAAGTACCTTGTAAATCTTTGAATCTCTAGGACAAGCTTCAATCTTAAAGTTAGGAGTTAATCATGCCTACCAAGCATAGTCATACATGAACACAGGCAAAAAATACATGAACTAAAAGCAAAATTAGTTTTAAAAGACTGTAGCAGACATACAGGTTGTATAAATGAAGAGATGATGTGCATTCTAGAATGGTTCTTTATAATCCAGGGAACTATGCTTATTACACCTTAGGTATGTAGGAAACATGCACCATCTTAAGCACACACTCCAACCTGCCTTTGATCAGTAGAACAGGGAACCAATGTGTGAGAGAAGATTTCTGCTATTGTTTTTTCCTCTTGTTGGTGTTCATGACTTTCTTGACACTTAGCTTGAATAATGTTGTGATTTAAATGTGAAATGTTCACCCACTGGGCTTATGTGTTGGAATACTTAGTTTACAGTTTGAAGAGCTATGTTGAAGACTGTGGAGGTTTGAAGAAGCAGAACAGGGTCTCTGGTCCGGTTAAAGCTTGGGGCCATGCTGATGTCCACAGTGGCCTGTGTTACCACCAGAGGCCATGTGGATGTCTGTGGTCTGGGCTGGCTGGGCTGGCACCTGACACCATGTTTATGTGCATGGGCTGTGATTCCACTGGGTGCTATGCAGAAATAAGTTGCTAGTGCTGCCACTTGGAGCCATGTTGATAACCGTGGTACATGCTGTCACAGGGGCCATGTTTGGTTATGTGGTCCTGCTTCAAGTGGAGTCCTGTTAATATCTGCAGCCCATGTCCTCACTGAAGGCCACATGGATATCTGTGGTCTGTGCTGCTGCCTGAACCCATGTTGATGTCCATGCGCCAGGCTGCAGTGGGACCATGTTGGTGTCTTTGGTCTATACTGCCACTGGAGACCATGCTGAAGCCAGAGGCTGGGTGGATGTCTGTATAATGGCTGCTTAC